ATTCTAACTATGCCATGGGATTGTTGTATGATGTTGGTCAAGCAAGTCACTTAACCTCTCTAGCCCTGTCTCTTTGACAATGGAAAATAATGGTATTGAACAGAATCTCCGTGTGGTACAGTGGAAAGAATTCTGCATTTGGAGTCAGGAGAGACTTGGGTTCGAACTCTAAAGAGCTCAGTGACTGCACACAAGTATCTTCACCTTTTCGAGGCCTCTTTGGCAAAATGAGGATGAGAGTGCTTAAAGCACCAACCTCACAGGGTTAAGGCTGAAATGGGATAGGGAAATCAGAGAGGAACTTTGTGAACATTTAAAGAGCTAGAGAAATGACAGCTATTAGTTTGAAGACAGCTTTCCTAAGAGAGGCAACTTCCTTATTCTTGATTACTGAGAACATTATGATGATGAAAAATGCTTTTCTAGGACAGGAAGAAGAATATGCACATCAAGGAGCAAATCTGCATTACTCAATGGCTAGATTTCTTCCCTGCAGCACAGGGAGGAAACCACCCACTGTGCAGTGAGAAGCAACCTTCCAAGCAGGAGGAAAAAAGCTGCATCAAGGAAGAAAGAGCCTAGCTAAGAAACTGTATAAACAATGTGCTTAAAGGTTCACCTTGATTTTTTTTTCCTTCAGAAAGAAGAAAAATGTTTCTATTGGAATCCAAGCGAGTAAAATTTTTGTAGGAAAAAAAATCCACACTGCGTTCCCAATTCAATTTTATTATTGGGGTTTGGGAGAGAAGACGTAGAAGGGGAGGAGTTCCCAAAGGAGGAAGAAATAAGCTTTCCATAAATGACAAACCAAACACGAAGATGTAGAAAACCCCACAGACAGGGCAGTGAGCTCTAACAGGCGGATTATTTCTAGGCCACTTCTTCATTACACATAGCCATTGTTCAGCCCTCTCCTGGGCCTGTAGGATTTGCTGAGTGCCCTAAACTAGCCCCAGAAGCTGGTCTGGTGGAAGGATGAGAACATGTTCCCATGACTCCCCTGGGAGCACATAACAATGATCTACCCACGGACAGCTGGGAAACTCGGAGCCTTTAAAGAGCCTGACTAATGGCTGGCCCTGGACTGATGAGCAGAGCTTGCTGAGGGAATCTGTGAGGCTCAGAAGGGGAATGACTGTGAAACAAGGCCAGGAGGCGTGCATGCAGACGCTCCTGGGGAGAAACAAGGCCAGGGCCTGTTCCCTGGAGCTGGGGCAGAAGGGAGGGTCAGGAAGGTTGGGAAGGAAACAAGTCAGGCCCTGCTGAAACAGGCCAGGCCTCTTCTCACAGTAAGCACCAGCAACAAGTGCCAGGAGGGAGCCTAGATTAGAGCTGGAAGAGGCCTGAACATTATTGAGCTCAAACCCTTCATCTTACAAACAAGGAAACTAAGGCCCAAAGAGGGGGAAGTGATTTGCCCAGGTCACCCAAGTAGTCATTAAGCACCAGGAATAGATCTAGCTCCTCTGACTCCAAATCCAGTCCTCTTTCCCTTTCTACCATGATGTCTGGGGGCTAGAGCAGGTGACCCACACTCCTCACAGCCTGGCCAGCCAGGATGACTTCACTTTTACCTCTACTTCAACCACCTCTGAGAACGCCCTCCAGTGGCACCGAGATGGTTTGCAAACGCCCCATAGGAGGACTATGTGATCATATTTTCTGAATCCACACTTTGGATACATGTTTTGAACAAAGCGTTTGTTGGAAGCCCTGTTAAAGTCCACTTTCTTTTCACTGAAATTAGGACTGTACCATAAAATGGCCCTCACAGATCCCTATTTCCTATTCATTCAGACCTCATTCCTATACTCAGTCTATACTGGTTACCTATTACTTAATCCACCTGGGCAGGAAGAGCAGCCATCCCCACCACTGCTCCTACCCTGATCAAAATATTTTCATTTCTCAAAACTAGGCTCTGTCACATGTAAGGTACACATTCTTAACAAACATGATGACTGTGGAGAAATGAAAAGTGGATGAGGTAACGTATGGGAAGCATCTTGCAAATCTTAATACACTATATAAATGTGATTTCATTATTGTTATTGCCCATTTGGACAGAAAGACAGAGACAATTTTTCTGCCTAATTGGTCTAGAGAGAAACTTTCTACATGGTGACTCTTTAAATAACTCACAGAACCTTCAGGAAAAAAGTAATAATTTTCAAAGGAGTCTAAAATGTCTGAGCATCTCTCCTAATTCTTTGCCATAGTTGATTTCCAGTTTTGGACACTGCTGGCTGGGGGATCCCATTAGGAGAAATGGAGAAGACACAGATTTCAAAAGAAAAAAGAAAGAGTTCATTCTAATGCTAGTTAACTTTGCTGCTGTTAATTAAAATAATCATATTGCCTACGGACACGACAACATCCTGCTTTCCCACACACTCCACCGGAGGATGCTTTTAATAGTGCTAAGAACGTCCATTCTATAGGAGATAATCTTTACCAAACTGACTTAAGAAAAAGTCATATTTGTCATCATGTTAAAGAAATCTATTTTATCCCATTCTCCGTGGGGAAGTGGATTAGACACTTCTGTTCTGCAGTGAGGATTTCATTTAAATCAAAATGCTCTCTCTGTGAAGCATAGAGTATCCTTTGCTATAAAACAAGAATTAAAAAAAGTTCATAGATTTAAAGCTGGAAAAGACCTCAAAGTTCATCTAGTTCAACTCTCTCGTTTTTCAGCTGAAGAAACTGAGGTCAAAAGGAATTTTTATTTTTTACAAAAACCAAGTAAAATTTGCCAAAGAGAATAAAACACACAAAAACTATGAGCCAATGTTGATTTTTAGATTAGCCATTGGATGATTTTCCATTCCAGGGAAGAGTCAAACCTAAATCCTGGTCCTTCTAGACTTCAAAACATCCATGACAGGTGGGGGAGAAGGGCAGAGAAAAAACATTAAAATTGCAACATTTACATGTAGCGGAAGAGCCTTTCCAATGAAAGCCCACTGGGAATACTTCCCCAATGAGGAGTCATTATCAATTTCAAACCAATCTCAAATTGAAGAGATTCCCATTGGAGAAGCCCCAAATAGACTTTTCTTTCATCTGAAAGGGCATCAACCGTGACTGATTTTTCTTTTAACTCTTTTAAGTACTCAACGGTCAATTATGTAGATCTCTAAGCATCATCTGATTAGAGAGACAGGCACAATGGATGGTACAGTGCCTGGCACAAAGTCAGTTTTAAATTTATATTTGCAAATTTGATGACTAATAATAATGATTAATAATAATAAAAAGTAGAACCATTAAAATAATGATGGGAGGCAGCATGGCACGATAGAAAGCTGGTCTTGGAGTCAGGAAAACCCACCTGACAAAAACTGTCTATAGAACTACTTAATCTCTAAGTACCCTGAAATTACAGATAACAAATTATTTCCCAATCTGCATGGGTGGAGGGAGTTTCCACAACAGGAGTTCCTACACTATTAAACCACAGGTCCCAACAAAAATAACAACAATAATAATGACTCTTTACATTAAAATAACGTTACAGCTGACAAAGTACTTCCACGTACGTTGTCTCAGGTGAGCCTAACAACAGCCCTGGGAGGACACATATTAATCCCATTTGCCAAATGAGGGAAGAGAAATTCAGAAAAAGGGATCGCCTTCTCAAAGTCACAGGACTAGGAACAGGTCTAAAAACTGAAGTCAAGTCTAGTACAGGCCTTTCATGACCCCTCCCAAGGCCCAAAAAGTCAGAGAGGCCCAAAGTAACAGAAGCTTAAAGGAAGAAAGGGGGCTGGAGGGAAGATAAAGGGTAAGTCTGGGTAAAAATGTTGCAGTTTAAAAATCATGTAATGCAAAGAGTCTTGTGAAAGCTGCCTAAAAAAGCCTAGAAACAAGGGAAAATTCTCTTTAGCATTCTAGTCTGAGGCTGTAAAGGATGTAAGCCCCAACAGGACTCAGTTCAGCCACAGACTATTCCTGCAGAAGAGACCTAGTCCAGGAAAGCTGGCATCCTAGTAAGAGGGAAGGTGATGGATACTGTAGTTGACCTATGCTATGGGGATCAGGAATCATGAATGCAGTAGGGCACACAATCTCTGTGGCCCGCATGGGGAAAACTGGCAGGAGGTGAGGCTTGGATGGCTGAATATGTGCTTCATTCTGTTCTCTTGATGACAATGACCTTTGGTTTCTCATTAATGTGCTGATGTTCTTTTTCTGTTGTTGTTTGTTTGTTTTATTCCTAATCTGACATGCCACTACCTGGAGCAGGCAAAATTATGACCAGGTCCCCATCAGCTTCTCACATGCACAAATGTCCCCAGTTTAGCACTCTCTGATTTGTTTGTAGCTACATCTGTTTTATTCTTTGTGCAAAGCAAACCAGGTTTGCAAAAATAATTACACACATAGATTCTTATTTCAAAGTCTAAGTTTAAACTCCTTTTGGTTCCCTAAAGGATGATTTCCCCCTATTCAAGGAAAGAGTCAGAAGGAAAACCTGAATCTCACAAACCTGTAAACATACTTCACAGGAGTGGAGGGAGGAAAGATAAGAAGAAAGAAATTCTAACTCAATTTTCACTTACTGGCCTCTAAAAAAATAACATCACTAACAAACACATGGGTTTTCACAGTTTGAGCCAAAAAACAAACAAACAAACAAACAAACCACACAATCACCCCTAAAGAAATCAGTGAGTGAGTTATTTAGAGAAGTACCGCTTTCTTCTAAAACAGGAAAAAACTGCACAGGGGAGGTGTTTGGAAAATCATGTTGGAGGCGAGACCACTTTTCAGGGAGGCTGTGGAAGGGATTCCGATGGGAGATTGGACTAGATGATTTCTAAGGCCCTTTCCAAATCTGTGCTTTTACAGTAAAATCATTTGAAGTAACGGAAAGATGTGTCCTCCATACATAATTACCTTTGAATAGAGTTGTGAGGTTTTTTTTTTAGTGAAAAAGATTTGTATTCCACTGATGGTCTAAATAGCTCCCTGTCATTACATAGTAAGTACCTTAATTAAAAAAAAAACAAACACAGTTCTTTATTTTGTAGAATGGTTTAGGACCCCTGTTACCAATGAAATTAAACATGAATGAACCCTAGAGAATGAAATAAATCATCTCTAGTCTCTATAGGAAATTTCGGTTGACAAAAAAAAAAAAACTAATAGAAAAAATGACAGTAGGTTGCATAGTGTTTGTTTAAAAAAATTATCAAGAAATTAATTCAGGGGATGGTAAAAGCCAATCTGGAAGCCTTTAGGTTTACGATAGAACAACAACAAAAAAGTCATCTACTTTTACCCTGGCCATGCCAGAGCATACCACTATCCAAGTTTCCTGAAGCCTATGGATTATTTCCCAGAGCTGCTTTTATTATAAATAAGGAAATCAGAAATGTCATGCCACACATTGCTGTCATCATAAAGGTATGTCATGGAGGACTGCAGAGATGGCTGAAGGGTGTGTCTGTGGTACTGAAAGAGCCAGAGGACGAGTCCCCAGATGATAGCAGAAAACAAAGGAAAGGGATCCTGTTTTGGCTCTGGGATGAAGCCTTTCTCAACTGCTAGCCGGGTCAGTCCAAAAAGGGTTCGAGACAGCAGGTACATGTTAATCTGCAAAAAGGAGAACCTGAGTAGGAAAATGAATGTTGCCCTAGGGTGTGTCAGCCCCCAAAATGCCCACCCTGCTTCACTATCCCTTCAATTCCAAGACTCCTTGTCAACCAGACATAAACCAAGAAGGAAAAAAGTCTGGCAGACAGGGAGAAGTACCATGTAGTGGCACCACAGCATTTCAAAGGAAGAGCCATGAGACTAGAGGATGAGTCACCATTTTACTCCATCACTTAATCATGTACTTCTCTCTGACAGAGTTGGCCAGGAAAATCCTGTCTTGGGTGAGGTTATAATGAGCGATTAGAACAGCATCCAGGCCAACAGAGTCTGGCAGGAGAGGAATGCAGGTGCAGGCAAACTTTACCCAAATGGGGAAAAGAGTCTAATTTTAGGCCTTCATGGCAGCTCAAGCTAATGATTAATCATGGTGTGATGATGAATGACCTGCACAGACATGGGGCAGGTGGGGAAGGAGAGGAGGGTTCCCATGGAACAATGCTAACCTCTAAGATCATAACTAGAAAGTCAAAAAATAAATCTGAAAGAGATAGGTTAGGCGATGGTAAACAGCTACCTGGAAAAAGAAGAGGGGGGGGTTTCATTTACCTGACTGTTGATGTTGTTATTTTCTCCGAAAATCAACCAGCCACCGATACAGGCCGCCAGAAAGGAATGAAACTGGAAGGTCTTTCCCTGGACACCAGACTGCAAGGCACACAAGCCTTTGTAGGTAAAAACAAAGTAAGCCAGGTTTCGGGAATGTGTGTATGTGGCCTGAACAATTGCCTTGAGCTTCTCCTTTAGGCTAAGTGAACAAAGCAACACAAACGTACACATATACACACAAAGAGAATTAGGAAGACTATGATCAGAATGAAAATATGAAGACAAGAGAATATTTTCCTCTGGAACATAATGGAAGCTATGCATGCAAGGATCAGGGGATTGGTTAGCTGCCAAAATATAATAATGTATTTTCCCAAGGACAAGATCACACTATGTTTAAGATTCAAGAATGCTGCTGAAGATAAGCCATGCAGAAATACAAAACCATAGAGTTCATACCTTCCACTTCTGAAGAGAAACGTCATGACCAGAGCATGGGGCGCACGGATTTTAGCTCCATAGCTGGGAAAGAAAAATATTAAGAAATAATTTTCATAAGATATTGCACTCTTTGGATAAATGCAAGAAAAGTCTTTAACACTAATAAATGATCTAACTTCCCCTCAGCTCTCAGGCAAACAAGACTATTCAACTCCATCAAGACATCTTTATTTACATGTTTATAGATTATAATACATAGACTATTAGCGATGGAAGGGACCTCAGAGGTCATTTAGTTCAACACCCTCATTAAAAAAGAACTCGAGACTTCTGGGGGGGGAGCCTTCCCAACATTCTCCTCCAAACAACTTTAAAGTAACACCTCAAATTGAATTCTAAAGTGGCAGAGCCAACAAAAGATCACAGTGAGACATCCTTCCAGCCCAAGAGAACATAGGAAGCTGGAATGAGAGACCTGGGATGTGGGGGAGGAGGTTGGCCCAAAACCCACATGGATGAAACACCAGTGGTGGGAACTAAGGTGGTGATGGCACGAGTAGGAGCAGCTTCAGGAGCTCTTAAGCCAGAGACAATAAGGGGACCTGGCAACTGGTCAGAAAGAAATTGCAAGGTACCCCTGCACTAGATCTGGATACAGGACCAGATGCTGTTTGGCAACTCTATTGCCTATACAGCATACCACTTCTGAGTCATAGTTCAAAAGCAGAAAGGGGCACTTTCAGTTAAGAGGGAGTGGGAAACCTGAGGGGCAACTGTTTGGCAACTCCATTATCCACATGCACTTCTAGGTCATAGTTCAAGGGTGGAGAGAGGCACTTTGGTCAAGAGGGAGTGGAAGCCCTAGGGAGCAATATTACTTCCAGCCTCAAGGGATTAAGGACCCTGAGGAATAGTATCCTTACTGGCCCCAATGTAGGAGGAGCTCTGAGGAACAATATTGATTGTAATGCCAAGGGATCAAGGGCCCTTTTTGGGTAAGGACCAGAGTACAGACCAAGAGAACAGCAACCACAAATCTCTCCCCAGATCACACCTTGGAAGCATTGAAAACTTCCAAACTCCCAAACTGGATCTGAAAACAGTGTGGAAAAAGCCTGAAGCTTGAGATAGAGTCCTTCTCACCCCCACAGTAGGAACAGAGCTCAACATTAGCATAAAGTTCTAAATCAAGAATTAGGTTGGAAAAATGAGCAAACAACAAAAAAAGAATCTGACCATAAAAAGTTACTATGGTGACAGGGAAGATCAAGACATAAACTCAGAAGAAGATAATGAAATTAAAGTTGCACGAGCAAAACCAAAAAAAAAAAAAAAAAAAAAAAGCAAATTGGACACAAGCCCAACAAGAATCACTAGAAGAGCCAAAAAGTGATTTTCAAAGTCAAATAACAGTGGTAGAGGAAAAATTAGGCAGAGAAATAACAGCAAAGGAAGAAAATTATGAAAAGACAATTAACAGCCCAGTAAAAGAGGGACAAAAAATACTGAAGAAAATAACACTTTAAAAAATAGAACTGGCCAAATGGAAAAAGAGATATAAAAATTCACTGATGAAAATAACTCCTTAAACAGAAGAATTGGCCAAATGGGAAAAGAGATACAAAAACTCATTGAAGAATATAATCCCTTAAAAATTAGGAATGGGTAAGTTGAAGCTAAAATAACTCCACGAGACAACAAAAACAATAAAACAAAGTCAAAAGAATGAAAAAAATAGAAGAAAATGTGAAATATCTCATCTCATCTGGAAAATAAAGGACAGATAACAAGAATTATTAGATTACTTAAAACCCATGTTCATAGAAAGATCCTTGACATCATATTTCAAGAAATTATCAAGGAAAACTGCTCCAATATCCTAGAACCAGAAGGTAAAATAGAACTTGAAAGAATCTACTAAACACCATATAAAAGAAACGCCAAAATGAAAACTCCCAGGAATATTATGGCAAAAATTCCAGAGCTGCCAGGTCTTAAAGCAGAAAATTCAAACAATTCAAATATTGTGGAGCCATAGTCAGAATCACACAAGATTTAGCACCTACCATGTTAAAGAAATGGAAGGCTTGGAATATGATATTCCAAAAGACAAAAGAGTTGGGATTACAACCACGAATCACCTATCTAGAAAAACAGTATAATCCTTCAAGGAAAAAAATAGACATTTAATGAAATAGAAGCTATCAAGCATTCCTGATGAAAAGATCAGTGCTGAATAGAAAATCTGACTTTCAAATATGAGAGTCAAGAGAAGCATAAAAAAGTAAACATAAAAGAGAAATCATAAGGGACTCAATAAGGTTGAACTGCTTGACTTTCTATATGGGTAGATGACAGATGTATCTTCTAAAAATTCTATCATTATTAGGACAGTTAGAAGCATTCTACATAGAAAGTGGTTATGGGAGAAGAATGGGGAAAATTATCTCACATAAAAGAGGTGTGCAAAGAAGAGCTTTCACACTGGAGGGGGAAATTATGTGAGGGGGAGGGGCAATGTTTGAACCTTACTCACATCTAAGTTGTTTCAAAAAGGGGAAAAATATATGTGTGTGTGTGTGTGTGTGTGTGTGTGTGTGTGTAGGTGCTCGCATGCGCATGCAATAAAGGAGGGTAGAGGTGGGAGAAGGAGATCAGTTATAAGAATGTAGTGGTCAGAAGCAAAACAGACTTGAGAAGAGGGGCAGGATAAAAAGAGAAAGAAGGATAAAAAGAAGATATAGGATGGAGGGAACTGCACAGTTAGTAATCATAACTGTGAATGTGAATGACATGAATTCACTCATAAAACAGAAGTAGATAGCTGAATTGATTAGAAACCAGAATCCAACAACATGTTGTTTGAAAGAAACATACTTGAAACAGAGACAGACACACACACATACATACATACACATACACACACACACACGCATAGAATAAAAATAGGGAGCTGGAACAGAGTTTATTATGCTTCAGTTGAGGTATAAAAAGCAAGGGTAGCAATCAAGATCTCAGGAAAAAAAAAGGCAAAAACAGACCTAATTAAAAGACGTAAGCAGGGAAACTACATTTTGCTAAAAGGTAAAAAAGACAATGAAGTAATATCAATACTAAACATATTTGCACCAAATGGCATAGCATCCAAATTCTTAGAGGAAATGTTAAATGAGTTACAGGAGGAAATAGACAGTAAAACTATACTAGTGGAGGACCTCAACTTTCCCCTCTCAGAACTAGATAAATCTAATGATAAAATAAATAAGGAGTCAGGAGGACCCGAGTTCAAATCCAGCCTCAGATACTTGACACTTAATAGCTGTGTGATCCTGGGCAAGTCACTTAACTCTGATTGCCTCACCAAAAGAAAAAAAAAAGCCAAAAAATAAAATAAAATAAAATAGAGAAAAAGCAGTTTAATGAATTGAGCATGCCACTAAAAAAAAAACTAGAAAAAGAACAAATTAAAAATCCCCAATTAAACGCCAAAATGGAAATCCTGAAAAATCAAAGGAGAGATTAATAAAAATAAAAGTAAATAAAACCATTGAACTAATAAATGAAAGTAGGAGGTTTTATGAGAAAAAAAAACAATATGTACACAATAACAGCCACACTGTACGATGACTAATATTGATAAACTTAACCCTTCCCAGCAATACAAGGATCTAAGACGTCTTCAAAGGCTTTGTGATGGAAAATGCTATCCATATCCAAAAAAAGAACTATGGAATTTGAATGCAGATCAAAGCACACTATTTGCTATTTTTTTTCTCTTCTGTTGAGTTTTGTTTCCTCTTTCTGGTGGTTCCTTCTATTGGTTTTAATTCTTATTTACAACATCACTAATGTGAAAATATGTTTAATAGGAATGTCTATGTATAGCCTATATCAGATTGTGTACCGTCTTGGGGAGGGTGGTGGGGAGGAAGGGGGAGAAAAATTTTAAGCTCAAAAGCATATGGAAGTGATTGTTGATAAATCAAAATAAATTAATAAAAGAAACCAATAAAATAGATAAACCATTGGTTAATTTGATTTAAAAAAAAGAAAAACCAAATTACTAGTATCAAAAATGAAATGGGCGAATGCACCAATGAAAGTGAAATTAAAATAATTACTAGGAGTTATTTTGTCCAATTATATTCCAGTAAAACTAATTAAGTGAAATGGACAAATATTTACAAAAATATAAACTGCCCATATTAACAGAAGAAGAAATAGAATACTTAGATAATCCTATTTTAGAAAAAGAAACTGAATATGCCATCAATGAAATCCTTAAGAAAAAAATCCCTAGGACCAGATGGATCTACAAGTGAAGTCTCCCAAACATTTAAGGAATAATTAATTCCAATACTAAATAAACTATTTTAATAAATTGATAAAGGAGTCCTACAAATTCCTTTTATGACACAAATATGGTTTTGATACCTAAACCAGGGAGAGCAAAAACAGAAAAAGAAAACCATAGACCAGAGCAAGTCACTTAACCCCAACTGCCAAAAGGAAGCATTATCTGTAATAAGGATAAACTTGAAGACTTTCCAATAAGATCAGGAGTGAAGCAAGGATTTCCATTATCATCACTATCATTCAATACTGTCTAGAAAGACTAGCTATAGCAAGACAAGAAAAAGAAATGGAAGGAATAAAAATACGCAATGAGAAAACAAAACTATCGCTCTTTAAAGATGATATGATGTTCTGCTTAGAGAACCCCAGAAAACCAACAAGTTCAATCAACGATTTCAGAAACATTGCAAGACATAAAATAAACCCATTGAAATCATCAACATTTCTCAATACTACCAACAAAGTCCAGCAGCAAGAGATATAAAAATTCCATTTAAATAACTGAAAACAATATGAAATACTTGGGAGTCTACCTATGTAGACAAACCCAGGGATTATATGAACACAATTACAAAACATGTTTCACACAAATAAAGACAGATCCACACAACTTCAGAAATACTAATTGCTCATGGGAAGGCCAAGCCAACATAATAAGACTGGCAATTTTACCTAAATTAATTTACTTATTCAGTGCCATACCAATCAAACTCACAAAAATTATT